AATACTGGCATGAGAAAAATATGATTTATTTTTCAGGAGATCAATTTTACATATTTATTGCTTTTAGTGTTAATATTGATTGAAAATGTTGAAATACTATAAAATGGTGTCCAAAATTAATATGTCTAAATATGTAATATATCATTGGCTTACAAGAAATATAAACTTTTCTATTTTTATTCTATATTTTTATATTCCATAAATCATTTTCTAATATAGTTAAAAACAAACAAAATATCAAAATGTTTTTAAATTAATTACTAAATAATTTGAGGAATAAATAATAATTTTTATTAGTATTTATTTTATTTGTTCTTATTCTTATTTTTTTTTTTTTTAGCAATGTTTCAAAAATAGTTGGCCAACTCACAAAATTCTTCATAAAGTTGCACGTAAGTTATTTTAGACAACATCAAAAAGAAGTTGTTAGAAATTTAATAAAAAATAAATAATTTTCAGAGGGTAAATCTGGTGTTACAAATGGTACAGATGAAGTTTTTAATCCATGGCCTGACTATACATTTACAGGTAATATATTTTATTTAGTGATGTCTAATATTACATTTTTAAAGTTATAAAAAAATATTTAACACAAAATAATATATTTTTTCTCATTTTATTTTAATAAAATTTGATTAATTTTCATACGTAAGTATGTTTCCTAACTATTTGATTCGTTACTCTTGTTCTATACTTGAAATTGATAGAGAGTACCTTTAATTAATAAACACATGTTAAGTACTTAAAAACTATGCACAGTAAAAATAAGTTTGTGTACAATTTAGTATTAAGAAAATTACTAAGAATTAGCAGCATTAATTACATTAGAAGATTTATTCTAGGTAGTTTACGTCCTTATAAAACATCTTCACCGCGAACTGTTCCTGATCATATACCAAGACCTGATTATGCTGATCATCCAGAGGGTATTCCTATTAGTGAACAACAGGTTAAACTTGCTTCTCATATTAAAGTATTAAATGATGAAGAAATAGAAGAAATGAGAGTTGCTTGTAAGGTAATAACAAATCATTAGCTAGTAATTAATATTTTTAAGTTTAAGTTAATATTTTCCTATTAATTACATTTGAAAAAAGTCATTTATAATATTTTATATTAATAAATCAAGAAATATGAATAACATTTGAAAAGTTTAAGCAGAGTTTGATATGCCAATATAATAACATGATGTTTTGTTTAGAATTAAATATACCTCAAAATATATATAACTTATAATATCCTATTTATTGTAATTACATACAATTAATACTTGTTTTTGCCTTATCAAAAAACTTAATTGTATAGCTTTTGCTCTATTAATTTTTTGTTTATTAAGTATATTATTTATTAAATAAGTATATAACAAGTTAAATACACATTGTGTTGGTGTCAATCTCTACATCCAACCATCTTTGAATTAATTATCATTTATCCTCTGAACTTGTTGTTCCATTTCTACAAACTCATCTTTCAAAATAATAACAGTAGTAATAAAAAATATATAATTATTGAGTTATAATAATACTATGTATTGAAACTTTTTAAATTAAAAACATGTTAAATATAATATTATTATTATTCCAAAAGCTAATTATATTACTTAATCATGACAACTTAGAAAAAAAAACTTTTACGTATTAGGTAAATTTCATCCAATTTATTATTTATATTTGTTTTTGTTGAATAGGCTATTTAATTACNGGTAAATTTCATCCAATTTATTATTTATATTTGTTTTTGTTGAATAGGCTATTTAATTACTAATAAAACATTTAATTTTTATTAACAACCTAATCCTTTTTTAATAATTTTTCCTGTAAAACATTAATTGAATTCATTTATTTTTTTATTTAATAATGATTTTTAGATATGAATAATTTATACTTAAAATATTAGCTTAAATTTTGAATTCATTATAAAATTCAATTTAAATTATATTTTGTCTAATTTGTTAGTAGCTTATCACAAAATTTGTTATTGATGTTAAAATAACTATGCATTTTAATTAATCAATTTTGTAGCTTGGCCGTGAAGTTTTAGATGAAGTTGCTTCTATTATTGGAATTGGGGTTTTAACTGATGAAATAGATAGAATTGTTCATGAAGCGTGTGTTGTACGTGAATGTTATCCATCACCACTGAATTATTATAAATATCCAAAGTCATGTTGTACTTCTGTTAATGAAGTTATTTGCCATGGAATACCGGATATGAGACCTCTAGCTGACGGTGATATTTGCAATGGTTGGTTTTAAGTTAAAAAATAATAGTTGTCTAATAATTTTCATACTTATTGGTCATTTTTATTTTAAATTTTTGTTTTATTTAATTTGAGTAATACAAATGAATTTATTAATGGTGAAATATTTTTATATTCATCCCTTATGTCTACATCTTCAAAAATTATTTTATTTTACTCTTTACTAATAAAAATAGAACTTGAGGCAGAGTTGAGGAATCACTTCATTATTTTTTTCAATCAATTGTGCAGATTACCACTCAGTTTTCTAACAACTTTGAATCTAAATTTTTTTTATCATTATTTAAAAAATTGTAGAAACCTGATATAGTAAAATTAAGGGTTTAATTTTGGCTTTAAAGGTTTGAAATTTTCA